TTTATATATGGTGATGGTATTGTGGAAGCAGAAAAAGAACTGTCAGAAAAGAACTGCAATGCATGACAGTTTGTTAGCAAGAGTCAGGCTAACTGTAGCCCTGATAACGCGAGATTTGTAGAAGCGAGGATTGTGTGAGGCGGGTGAGAAAGAACTGTGTGAGAAGTTATTGCGACCTTGTGTAGATAATATGGAATGTAGACTAAGAGTCTACATTAGTGAGCAAAACAAGATATCAGAATGACCTATGTATAAACAAAATGCAGTTGTTGCTCATTATTGTCTGTAACAAAAGGTATAAATGCTTGCTGTAATTGTTTACTGTTGAGAGAGACCTGCTTAGCTCTCTCCCTCTGCACAATTGTGAGAGTTAATAAAGCATCTGACTTGCTGTACCCAAACAAAAAGTGAGAACCAGTTTTTCTCCAACAGTATCCATAGGGACTAAGGCAGAATAACTGAAAATCCCTTTTCTATTGTAAATACTGCTTTGACTAGACACCTGTGAAGTAAGATATGTAGCTTATTTTACAGAATCTTAGCTAAACAAATATTTCCTTTTTTCTCCCCCTTTCACTATGGTTATCTAGAAAGAGCAATAGGATTGTGCCACCTAAGCATAAATCAAAACCCAGCTAATGAAAGCATTCTTATTATACACTGTTTTTCTCCTCCTTTCTGTACAATCACTTCACACATTTGCTTTTCTCAACCAGAGAGAAAATGACTGGATAAAATTCTTATTAGGACTAGCTCTGCGAATACTCAAGCTTCCTTGAGCTGTGAAGTCAGGCCTGTCTGCGTTTGGTCTCAAACAACAGTGGGGCAAAGATCTAACTTATCAATAAATGTCAGATTTACCTAAGCACTCCACAGCCTTTACTAAACAGATTAGTTGTGATAAGGGCTGCTGTGTGATAAGAAGTTTGAAAGATTCAGTTTAAAACTACAAGAGGATGAGAGGAGAAATATAGACATGGAGATAGCAACTGATAAATGCCAACGTAGTCTAAGCGAGAACACCTAAGATTGCAAGGAACTGAGAAACCAAACTGCTAACATAGGAAATAAATCAGATTAAGAAATATCAGTTGGTGACTATACTGTACCTGAATACACTAAGATAGAAGATATTATATGTGCAGAGCTGATTATGAAGATGCTGGGAACAGATAAACTCTGAAAACCCTTCATAATGTATCATAGAATGTCATGTTATTGGAAAGGACAAGTGGGTGAGGTAATGTCTTTTATTGGACCAACTTCTGTTGGTGAAAGAGACAAGTTTTTGAGCTACACAGAATTCTTCTGGTTTGAAAAAGAGTTCTGTGTAGCTCAAAAGCTTGTCTCTTTCACCAACAGAAGTTGCTCCAATAAAAGATATTACCTCACCCACCTTGTATTGCTAATATCCTGGGACCAACACAGCTAAAACACTGCAAACAAAACGTTCTTGGGAAGTCCATTCATCCCACTTGTATATTATGCAATTCTTGCAATAAAGAACTAGGTTCTGAAATGACCATGTGATGTCTACCTTTTAATGTAAAAAACCACCCTCTACGCAGATTGTAATCCTAGTTCTTCTTTTGTACTAGAGTATGTTTCTCATTACAATGAGGCTGAAAAAGGCTTGGCCTGACTATTTTATGCGTTGAATTAAAAATTCTCCACGGAGTCTCTCCTGAACTTAGGCCTCCCCCCCGCTTCACTGATGATATAATGTTTCTGAGTAAGAGGAACTGATTCTAGCAAGTGGATTTCCTCTAGTCTGCTGTTGAATGGTACTGCATTGAGACACTATGGTATTTAGATTGTAAGCTCTTTGGGGCAGGGACTGTGTTTTTGTTCTGTGTTTGCCTACTGTCTAACACAATAGGGCCCTGGTCTATAACTAGAGCCGCTAGACATTACTGCAGTACAAACAATAAATAGCAACAATATTTTATATTGCCCCGAGTTATATGATGTAATGATGATGTGCGTAAACTTGAATAGGTTGAATTGTGAAACACGTACTATTGGCTAGGCCCAAAAATGAATGACAACACTGAAATCAACCAGAAGTTATTACACCTCTACCTCGATATAACGCTGTCCTCAGGAGCCAAAAAATCTTACCGCGTTATAGGTGAAACCGCGTTATATTGAACTTGCTTTGATCCACCAGAGTGTGCAGCCCCGCCCCCTCTGGAGCACTGCTTTACCGCGTTATATCCGAATTCATGTTATATTGGGTGGCGTTACAATGAGGTAGCGGTGTATTATCATTTGTATTATTGTAGTGTCTAGGAGCCCTAGTTCTCTCCATTGTGCTTGGCAATGTACAAAGCAGGGCCGGCTCTGGCTTTTTTGCCGCCCCAGGCAAAAAAGCCTCCGGCCGCCCCCCGCCCCCCCCCCTGCGGGGGGGGGGGCGGAGCCCCGGGGGGAGGACGGCAAACCCCAGCGAGGGCTCCGCTCTCCCCCCGGCGGCCAGGGGGAGGGCGCCGGGGGGGAGGGCGCCGGAGCCCTGGGAGGAGGGCGGCGAGCCCCAGCGGGGGCTCGGCTCTCCCCCCGGCGGCCAGAGCGCAGGGGGCAGGGCGGCGAGCCCCGACCGGGGGGAGGGCGCCGGGGGGGGAGGGCGGCCAGAGCGCCGGGGGGAGGGCGGCGAGCCCGGCCGTGGCCCCGCTCTCCCCGGGGGCCGGAGCGCCGCCCCCCTCCAGGTGCCGCCCCAAGCACAACCTTGGTGGGCTGGTGCCTGGAGCCGGCCCTGGTACAAAGAGCACAAAAAGCCACCCCCACCACAAGGAGTGTACAATCTAATATCGTATGTAACAACAGACTTAAATGGTTGTCACAAGCAACCTGCAGTAGCCTTGATAAGTAAAACTTGTATGAAATGCATGAGCCACCTTTGTGTATCAGTCAACAAATGAGAAGGAGGAATTCTTCATTATTGTCAAATAGTTCTGAAAATTATCTTGACCCTGATACTTAATAATAATAATAATCAATAAACATTTGTTCATAAATACAGAGATGTGCTTTGCAGACACACTGTAATATGGGAAAAATGGCCAGATCTTCAACCTCCAATTAAATGGGGGAATCCTGGAAAGGCACAAAGCTGGCATAGTGGGCTATGCCAGCCTTTAGCGGTACCCGATTCCCCAACATAGGGGTTGTGTCAATGCTGGCTGGGGCCGAAGGGAGCAGAAAAAGGTGGAGCTGAATTACCATGTGGTCCACCAACCCCTGCTGGGGAATGATCCTTAGGGAGCAGCATTTAAATTAGCCCTCTGGGTGCTCCGACTTGACCCGTGGTGGATTCCACCACTCAAACATCTTTGGCTCCCGAATTTAGGGAGGCATAAACATGCCTTAGAGTCACTTTTGCTTCCCCTTACATTCATCCTTGTGCCGCTGAGGATTAGTGTGATACTTTTTGCACTGCATTATGTATTGTTAGTAAATAGTCGAAATGCCCCCAAAATGTACCAAAGCAAAGTTATCTTAAATTCTTTTACCAGATTTAATGTATTAAGCAAGTGGGCTCCCTAAAGCAACTATTAATTTTCAGAAGAGACAACTTATTTATGCTTAAGATACATAAGTCATACATGTTGAATATAGTGCAGTATCTAGACAAAATGAGAAGTATTCTACCAATGTAAGGGATTTGTCCCAGCAGCAGCGTGCTGAGAAACAGAAGCTATAGTAAGTCACATATTTGAGTGTTAAAAATATGAATGACAAAAGAGTACAGGTAATTAAACATATTCTTCAAATAATAACATTAAAACATATTTGGATGGAAAGGCAATGCTCAACACTCAGAATCACTGTAGCTTCACTATCTCTTTGCAAAACATATATACTGGACTGAAAATATCGATGAGTATGTCTTAGAATTTTCACTAAGTGCTACATTTCCAGTGTGTTCTGTAAGGAAAAAAGATGCAAAGATCATCTCTCCCATATAACTGGATTTAACACTGTTTTATGTGTAATGGTCAATCAATGAAAATCGTCATGCCTAAAATGTGTATATGTAAAATCGCCATCGCTTCCTGATGGTTTTAATTTGACATTGGAGATAAAACAACAAAAATTTCAACTTCAGTATTACATTTTTTTATATACAGATAATAAGAAATGGAGTTCTGCAACTGCTCTGCCACACTGATTTAGGGGGGCATGTTGGCACATCTTTATTTTTTTAAATTCCTTCAAGTGGGCAAGATGTGTTATTCCACTTAATCTGTTACATCTGTGTAAATACCAGTGTCATTTTTATCTAAGATAAACTTCTGCACAACATATTGAGGTTTACTAGAAATAGCTGAAATTTCTGTATTTACTCCCTAAAATTCTGACATGACTTAAAAACAATTCTGCAGTCACAGTACATTTGTTTAAACCAGTGATACTCAGACCTCATGGTTCAGGAGCCAAATTAGCGATCCACATTACCCAAAAGAACCACAGCAGTGTGAATTCATTGTTTCATTTACTATAGTACTATTCATATTTAAACAGCATGATTGGAAATATTTAGTTTATATGGGTATATTTTTTCTTACAGCAAATAGGTTAATAACTTGGTGCAAGTTGATAACTTAAATGGCAAATAACATAGTAAAAACATCCTGATCAGTTAATAACTTAGATGGGTTAATAATTAAATCACACACAATTTTAATATCATGTGCTGCAAAGAGCCGCAGGAGACACATCAAAAAGCCACTTGCGGCTCACAAGTTGCAGAGGAGTATCACTGGTTTAAACCATGTAGGCAGCTGCAACACATACAAGTGCACAACTGGAAACACTTAGCAAATGGCAGAAGCCATGCAAACCATTGAGGATGAGGAATAAATAGGGGGTGGGAGTGGAGAGGAAAAGGGAAAGATGTAGTAAAGGAAAAATAAATGATGCATCCATGGATGTGATGGTAGACATTGGTAAAAGAGTAAGTGAACACCTCAAGATGGAGAGAGAAAAAAAGGACAGATACCTACCCCAACCTGCGCTATCTAGCTACCGACCTGTGGACTTATAGTATCACCAGTAGGCTCACCAAATGGATCACTGTTGGAAGAGGCCTGAGATCCATCAGGCTAGAATACAAGAACATAACACCTTTTTTCTCAACAACAGGAAGTGAAAAGGCAGTAAGAGGTTATTTTCATGCTAGGGACACATTCTATCACGTGCAGCTACTGTAGGTTTTAAAACACAAAGGGTAAGATCCTACAATTAATATGCTTTCAAAATTTGCATGGACTTCAAATGGGTGTTGCATACATAAGGGCACTGATTTAATGCCTGTTGAAGTTGTAAAAGAGCTGCCCCTGACTTCAATAGGCATTGGTCAGACCCAAAATGACGGCAGGCCCAGTCCCTGAAAGCAGATCTTGGACTAAATTCATAAGCAAATCTATGTGAATCAGAGAGCGTTTAATCTTGTGTAATTTATGCTCTCTTCTATCCCCTCTGCATGTACGTTACAACAACTTGGGCTCCTTTTAGCCTTTCTTTGACTTCAACTCAAACCCAGTTACCAGGGCATTTTATGACATACAATCCCCATTTAGCCAACCTCTGACTTTGGCCCACTCAGTCTCACTAAGTGTAATGGAACCTTAATGCAGAAAAATCATACGCTAAAGGCCCACAAGTGAGGTATATAACAAGAACAACAACTAGCAGGAAAATGTAAGAATGTGTAAGCCAGTGTGGGCCATACTGTTTTAACATATATACTCTTACACCTTCTTCTGCTTCCTCGGCATGTATGTTACGTCAACCTGGAATCCCTTACACATCCGTAAATGGTGTAAGTAGGTTGATGGATGTTTGAGGGTACATAACTTACACCGCTTTACATATCAACTCTGAATTTAGCTCCTTAATATTAATACATACTATTGTCAATATCATGCTAATGTTCGATAGCTATCAAACCCATACTTGGAAATGAAAGTTCTCTGCAACTTCCCTTAAAAAAATCCACCAATCCTATTGAAATATTTATTTGACATTTCCAGATGACTTTCAGTTACTCCCTGGTATTTTCTAGCTAGAAAAGTCTAGTTAGTATTAGGAGTCATGCTACTCACAGCCTCCTGCTCTTCACTTTTGCTTGGGCTTTCAAACCCCTCTTCAAAGAGGTCATCTGCAGTAGGGTCACTGGTATGAGAGACTGATGATTTTGATGGAGAACTCTGTCTGGGAGCAGGGGTTGGAGCTAAACAAAGATGATGGCAATAATAATAGGAAATAAATTCATTGATTTGTTTAGATAGACAAACTATTCAAAATCTATTCATGCTTAACCCCCCCAATTTTATTATTCCTAAATTGCTTGTTTTCTGATTTAAGCAAACAAAATCATAGTCTATAGTCTGAAAATTATAACAAAAATGTCACCAACTCCTTATTTTTATTCCATGCTTCAAATTCACCAACCCCAACATAAGAACACTCCACAAATCAGTGTATGAATTCTGTGATTTGAAATAAATTTAATGTAAAGCCTATTTCCTCTTTCAGCCTTTTCAGAAACTAGGATGTTTGTTTTTAGCTGAGATGGATGTTGGGGGAGTTTTTGACCAATAAAAAATTTCAAATGACAAGAAAAAGATCTTCATGGTGCATCTTTACATAGACTCTGAAAACACAGGGCTTATCTATATGGAGACATAGTGCATGGAAAGCCAGGGTGTAAATCTACTGGACTCTGTTCTGAAATAGCAGTAGGTCAAAGCACACTACAGAACTTATAGTGCATGGCAGCAGGGTCCACCCAGAAACAAAGGGAATCATAGAAGATTAGGGTTGGAAGAGATCTCAGGAGGTCATCTAGTCCAACCCCCTGCTCAAAGCAGGACCAACGCCAACTAAATCATCCCAACCAGGATTTTATCAAGCCGGGCCATAAAAACCTCTAAGGAAGGAGATTCCACCACTTCCCTAGGTAACCCATTCCAGTGCTTCACCACCCACCTAGTGAAATAGTTTTTCCTAATATCCAACCTAGACCTCCCCCACTGCAACTTGAGACCATTGCTCCTTGTTCTGTCATCTGCCACCACTGACAACAGTTTATTTTCCATCCTCTTTGGAACCCCCTTCAGGTAGTTGAAGGCGCTATAAAATCCCCCCTCACTCTTCTCTTCTGCATATTAAACAAGCCCAGTTCCCTCAGCCTCTCCTCGTAAGTCAAGTACCCCAGCCCCCTGATCATTTTCGTTGCCCTCCGCTGGACTCTCTCCAAGTTGTTCACATCCCTTCTGTAGTGGGGGGCCCAAAGCTGGATGCAATACTCCAGATGTGGACTCACAAGTGCCGAATAGAGGGGAATAATCACTTCCCTTGATCTGCTGGCAACGCTCCTACTAATGGAGCCCAATATGCCGTTAGCCTTCACGGCAACAAGGGCACACTGCTGACTCATATCCAGCTTCTTGTTCACTGTAACCCCCAGGTCCTTTTCTGCCGAACTGCCCCTTAGCCAGTAGGTCCCCATCCTGTAGCAGTGCATGGGATTCTTCTGTCCTAAGTGCAGGATTCTGCACTTGTCCTTGTTGAACCTCATCAGATTTATTTTAGCCCAATCCTCCAATTTGTCTAGGTCACTCTGGGCCCTATCCTTACCTCCCCTCCCAGCTTAGTGTTATCTGCAAACTTGCTGAGGGTGCAATCCAGCCCATCATCCAGATCATTAATGAAGATGTTGAACAAAACCAGCCCCAGGACAGACTCCTCGGGCACTCCGCTTGATACCAGGTGCCAACTAGACATCGAGCCGTTGATCACTACCCGTTGAGCCCGACGATCTAGCCAGCTTTTTATTCACCTTATAGTCCATTCGTCCAATCCATACTTTTTTAACTTGCTGGCAAGAATACTGTGGGGAATGTATCAAAAGCTTTGCTAAAGTCAAGCTATATCACATCCACCGCTTTCCCCATATCCACAGAGCCAGTTCTCTCAACATAAAAGGCAATCATGACCAAGGCATGACTTGCCCTGGGTGAATCCATGTTGACTGTTCCTGATTACCTTCCTCTCTTCCAAGTGCTTCAAAATGGATTCCTTGCGGACCCGCTCCGTGATTTTTCCAGAGACTGAGGTGAGGCTGACCGGTCTGTAGTTCCCCAGATTCTCCTCCTTCCCTTTTTTAAAGATGGGCACTATATTTGCCTTTTTCCAATCGTCCGGTACCTCCCCCGATCACCACAAGTTTTCAAAGATAATGGCCAATGGGTCTGCAATCACATCAGCCAACTCCCTCAGCACCCTCAGATGCATTAGATCCGGACCCATGGACTTGTGCATGTCCAGCTTTTCTAAATAGTCCTTAACCTGTTCTTTCACCACTGAGGGCTGCTCACCTCCTCCCCATACTGTGCTGCCCAGTGCAACAATCTGGGAGCTGACCTTGTCTGTGAAGACCAAGGCAAAAAAAGCATTGAGTACTTCAGCTTTTTCCACATCATCTGTCACTAGGTTGCCTCTCCATTCAGTAAGGGTCCCACACTTTCCCTGACCTCCTTCTTGTTGCTAACATACCTGTAGAACCCTTTCTTGTTACCCTTCACATCCCTTGCTAGCTGCAACTCCAATTGTGCTTTGGCCTTCCTGATTACACCCCTGCATGATTGAGCACTATTTTTATACTCCTCCCAGTCATTTGTCCAAGTTTCCACTTCTTGTAAGCTTCCTTTTTGTGTTTAAGCTCACTGAAGATTTTGCTGTTAAGCCAAGCTGGTCACCTGCCATATTTGCTGTTCTTTCTGCACATTGGGATGGCTTGCTGGGCTGTTCTCAGTGGTGGCAGATGACAGACCAAGGAGCAATGGTCTCAAGTTGCAGTGGGGGAGGTCTAGGTTGGATATTAGAAAAAAACTATTTCACTAGGAGGGTGGTGAAGCACTGGAATGGGTTACCTAGGGAAGTGGTGGAATCTCCATCCTTAAGAGGTTTTTAAGGCCCGGCTTGACAAAGCCCTGGTTGGGATGATTTAGTTGGGGTTGGTTCTGCTTTGGGCAGGGGGTTGGACTAGATGACCTCCTGAAGTCTCTTCCAACCCTAATCTTCTATAAGTAATGTTATTAGGTTCAATCTAGCTTTTATGAAACTCAATAGACTTCTGTTGGCTTCCATGGGAGTTGGATCTATACCAGTGTTAGCACTCGTATAATGGAATCTGTTTATAAACAATTTTTTGCAACCCCACAGTATAAGCACATTTATGCACTTAGAGCGAAATTCACTCCAGTACAGAGGGCCAGAAGAAGACCTATTCACCACTTAAGTCCCACTGAAGTCTCCAAAAATATGGCTGGAGTGGGACTTAAAATGGCTCCCTGTAGGTATGAATTTCACCCCTACTGCGTGAATATTTTCTCATCAATAGTTTAAATATTTTTCCAAACCAGTTTAAATGTGCTTAGTTCAGGCACATTTTGAAGAGCAGACCTATTACTGTTTTATTAAAAATTAAATTTTATCTTGCAACTTTTGAAGTTGTTGATTTCAATCGCCTCTGTAATTTGTAACCTAAATCATGTTTCCCTAGCTCCAGGATGTCACTAACAAGCTTGATCATGCATGAAGATACTAAGGTCATCGGTGTTCCAACATAGTACACCAGAGAAAAGGGAAAAGCTTTGAGGAGACGGTGACATTTGAGGAAGAGACTGCAATTGGAAGGATTTGGGTACTTACGTGAGTTTGTAGATGGCGTTGTAGAAGTCACAGGAGTCAAATTTAATTGAGAGATGTCAAAGTCATCACAATCATCTGCATCCTGTGCCATCCCGACTTTGTTAAAATAGCTGGAGAAGGCCTCTGAGGTACAACTGAGGGAAGGCTGGTCTGGTTTTCGTGATGGCACTGGCGGAGGCTGAGCCATCTGGAAATCTTTGAACATATCTTTTCCCATTTTCTGTCTGGGCCTGTCTGTCTGTGGACTTGATCTGGTGGAATCGCTTGTGGGTGGAACAGTAGCTATGGGAGCAATGGTACCTTGAAACATGGCTGCTTGTAAAGGCATAACAGTTTGTGTTGGCATGAAGGCAGTTGGTTGGAACTGACCAGCTACAGATGGCCATGGTTGCTGGGTAGGAGAAAAAATACCAGGTTGGCCCCATGCTATTGGCTGTCCTCCCTGCATCACCTGAGCAACTGGAGGCTGAGTACTCATGGCCAATTGTTGTTGAACGAGTGGTTGCTGTCCCCAGAAGGAGGGCAGGACAGCTCCCATTGCAACATAACCTTAAAGAATAACAACAGGGTTGTTTTAGCGCATGGATATGAACAGCAAGAGGATGTGGTACAGGAAACACTGTTAGTCAGAAATACACAGACTGTGTTAGGAGTCACAGGGACCTTTACCAATTTATATCACTTTCTTAAATGTGTCAATCCTATGCTCTTGGCATGTGTACAAACAGTTCAATAAATAAAGCATAACTGGACTGACTTTAATAATAATCACCATCCCCACTCATTAGAACAAAAAAATTATTCCCCTCCTCCTCAAATCACATGAATCCTACCCCTTCCCATAATCTAGAGAGAAAAGGTACCATGTTGGAGTGCAGTTTACCTTGAAAATCAGCTAACCTGGGTTTTGGTAGACCAAAGAGCAAAGTGAGTTCTGGAGCAGAGGACTCCTCACAAAAAATGGTACGTTGTGTAACTCTACACCACTTCTACACCAACTCCACAGAGAACAGGAGTCTGTTACAGCCCCACTAAAGAACTCGAGCTTGTTAGCACATGCTATAGCAGCTCATGCTTTTTGCTCTGGAGGTCCCTGGTTCAATCCCCAATATGTCGGCCCAGATGGGAGCCATCAAATTTACCGTTCCAGTTCAAGCCAGGCGACGGTTAGCTCAGGGACCTGCTTGGATTGCAACTGCTCCTGTATCTCATGATAATAGAGGTTTTCTCTGATGGGGGCAGGACTCAAACCGTTAAGGGATTTGTAGAGGAAAACCAACATTTTAAATCGCACCCAGAAATGGACACAGTGCAGATTATGAAGCACATGGGCTCCTTCTGAGAAGCAACCCTAAGCAAAGGAATGGCTAAATTTCAAATAGTTCATGTTTCTTAGTGGTCTTCAGGCTTGGCCCTAAGTAGAGCACTTTGCAATAATCCTATCTTGAAGGTTACAAAAGTATAGATAACAGAGGCAAGGTCTATAAAAGATAAAGGCATAATCTTGCCAAATGCAGATGAAAAAGCACGCTTGGTTACTTCAACACCCAGAAGCCACTAAGCATCCATACTATGAATTATAAAAACATACTTGAAAAATTAGAGGTATATAGTACTGTATAATAGATGCCAAAAATCTGCACTGGGTAATAGCTTATAATGAAAACCCTCTAGCTAGGGGAAAGCATTGAAGATTAAAAACTGGAGTCATTAAAACATTCTAATTTTGATTTGACCCTACTCAGACAAAACTTCCTTGTCAAACTAATGGGAATCTTGGCTGAGAATGGACTGTATGACTAGACCTTTTGTTTGTCATTTACAATTGAAAAGAAAAAAAAAAGATGAATCCAACAGAGTTTTCAACTGTGTTTAATATAAAAGGATTTCTGAAACTCTACCCTGAAAACCTTTATTAAAGAAGAAACTAGGTGACACGCTTATGTTTTACTAATACAAAATGATGTTATATTAATACGAGACCCAAATGCTACATTAACAATTTTAATTTATTGTTAATATTTTACAATGTGGAATCTCTTTCCTCTTCTTTGTACTGGTATAGCAGTAGAAAAGAAACCTTTTCCTTGACCTATAAGTTTTCCTTACCCTGCTTTTACCTTTTATTTTTGGTTTATTTCTGGGTTTATTGAAATGCAAACTGTAAAGGAGTAAGACAGCAAAACAAAAATCATAAGCAATAGATCTTGGAATCATTTAGCTAAGGATAACAATAACACAGCTAAATATGTATTTCAGCAAATGGTTATGATGGGGAATGTGAAGTAGGACCCTCCACAACTTTGTCAGAGCAATTTCCCATGCCATAACCCCAAAACACTGCATTGTAGTTATGACCTTACTGACTAAGGGACACTGGAGGGTACTTCTTTGGAAGAAGTACATCAGAGTTTTCCATAACCAGTTGACAAACAGGATCAAAGTGCTTATCTGGTTCTATTCCATGTATCAGGTATGTTACTTTCAAGTGCCAACATAATAATGGAACATCGGTACAGCAAAAGATTACCGCTGTGTTACATTCCAGGACAGATGATGCAGTACATTATAGCACTGAAGGTGTTAACCATCTAGAAAACTACTGTTGAATGATTCAAGGCACTCCTTTTTCTCCTTCCCAAATGGGACTGAATGAGCTGTTTTTGCAATGCTCCCAGCCCCTGGCAGTCCAGAGAGCAAGACCAGAAGTCAAACCCACATCTCCTGCATGTTAGTGCAGAATATTACATAAACTCTGAATTTTGAGCACTTTGAGGAACATAGAAAAGCCTAGCTGAAATGTCACACTTTGGCTACATGGAATAGCTTTAAAAATGGTCACAAATTCTTCACGTTTCTTGCTGTGCCATCATTTACTGTATATACTTCAGAATGTCCACTGTTATTACTGGAAATTCAAAGCTAAATAACTTTCCCTCTCCTATTACAATAGCTTATAGGTATATAAACTATATACTTGAACTTCCAGAGACTTTTTAGTCCCAGTTCTTTTTTTACTTCATTGGGTATTAGCAAACTCAATATACTGAAGGTTCAACTTGGTACTGATTTGGATTTTCTTTTTCCTGAAGTACATTAATTGTAAGACATTACTGTAAGTAAGTACATTGCCGTAAGACAGACTATATTTTCACATTTCTATAGTGGAAAACTTTTTAACCCTTATGTTTTGGATGTTGAGACATAAAACAGAACAGATACCTGAGTTCCACAGTTCAGTTGAGCTAATATTTTCAAAATGACCAACCCTAAAATTAGTCTTTAAATAACCCTATTGGGTTCTTACCTGAGGGTACAGCAGCAGTGCTAAAAGGTACAGAACCAAATGTGTCTGTAATAGCAGGAAGTGACTGGCATGAAGATGGGATAAAGGCATCACCTGGAGTTGCAGGAGTCTACAAAAATGAGACAGGAATAAAATACAATGGTGACATATCAGCTACTGTTTCTGCCATCGGGAATTGGTATGCACTGAGGTGCCACATCCCCTTTATCTCCAAAAAAAGAGAGATGCAGATGTAAAGAAGCATCAGGCAAAAGATCAGCAGCACCATAAGACAGAAGACAACAGGAAAAGAGAGAAAAAATACAGAGCTCTTGGACCATGAAGAAAAAGAACAATATAACTTGCACAATCATATATCACGTGCAAATTTCTGACAGCACCTGTTTCTTAAGAAATAAGTCTGTGATTCTGAGGCTTAATTAACTGAGGATTGATGTAAACAATAGACAGAAAATAACATAGAAAGGATTTTAAAACAGGGTGAAATTACTGTATTACAGAAGAATGATTAAATATTGCTCCAGTTCATCAATAGGCCTAGAGCCAAAGTCCTGCATGTTAGAAGAAGCCTGGTCCCATTGTTAAAGATAAGGATTGGGAGATGGGAGATCTGAACTCTTTTCCTAGATGTGCCACAAAATTCCTTTGTTATCTTAACTGCTCAGTGCCTCAGTTTCCCCATATATTCCCCTATGTCACAATCTGTTTTGAGGCTTAAAAATGAACTGGAAAATTTCTCTATTTCTACTTTATAATGAAGACAGCTTGTTTCAAAGGCTTCCATCTCCTTAAAATAACATACACATTTTTGTTTTTTACTTGTTTTTAGATCCTTCTTCCCTCTCTTAGCTGAAGGACTTGGATATGATCTTTGGAGGTTCCGAAGAGCCATGTCATTCAAAGCTGTAACCACATCTGATGCTCTCCTTCCCGAACAACTGAGTTTTTGACAGAGTCCCACACAGCAGATGCCTCTGCTAAACGGAAGTGATGGGAGCTGCAGCTCAGGTTATAGCCCTTTATGACATCACCATTCAGATCTCTATTTAAAAAAAAAAAAAAGTTTGAGGCCATCTTTGCACATCACAAAGAGCAGCGTGATGGGGTGTCCATGCCACACAAGGCCCGAAGGGGTTATGGTGGCTGAGTAGGTCAATTAACTGCATTGGCTGTATCTGGAGGAGGAGCCAGGGAACAATGAGGATTAATTAAAAAGGAAGCTCAGCTGCACAGGAACAGGAGGGGCCTGTAAAAAGCCCAGTAGCGGAGAGCAGAAGGGGGCTGCAGAGAGAGAGAGAGGCTGCAGTCACTGTTAGGGTGACAGATGGCAAGGTAGGAAATAGCCCAGAGACACAGAGTAAGGGACAGGACTTGATTACTTGTTGTAGAGTCCCTGGGCTGGAACCCTGTGTAGAGGGCAGGCCTGAGTTCCCCTACCAGCCACGGGGGAAGTGGCACCATTAGTGGCAGTGAAAGAGAAGACTGCGAGGGACAGCAGGTCCTGAGAGACGTTGATGCATGTGATTTCCCCGGCAGGGGAAAACCACAGTGACCTGACTGGAGGACCAAGCCATGAAGTGGGAGCAGTTGAGTCCTGAGACAGCAAAACAGAGTGATGGAGTGCAACCGCAGGAAGAGGCGTCAGCCTGGCAGAGTTAATCCCCAGATGTGGTCAGAAGGAGATGCGCCAGCGGTGACTAGAGCACCCCGTGACAAGCAGTGATTGGAGAAAAGGATTTTTCCCTTTTTGAATATGTTTGCTTCCTAGTTCTCTTTTATTTCACCACTGTTTGAAAAAACACTTTGAAATCCTTCATATTGGAGTGCATGCTATTCACCATCCTGCATTTCTACACATGGCTACAGTAAACCTGCTTTTTACCAGCAAGGTAGAAAAAGACAGGGCAATTTCCCCTGGGTACTTACTGGGGGAGAGGTTACATCAGGAGGAGTGGACATGTCCCCAAAAAGCTCTAGTTGGGTAACAGCCTGCAAAGAGAAGAATTGAGAGAATCAAGGAAGAGGGTGCATTAGACTGGAAACAAGTAATGAACTCATATCACCTATCCAAATTAAAGCTATTTATACCTTGATTGTCCCCTCCGCTGGGATGGACTAGGCCATGGGGCTGGCTCACAAACCCAGAGGAGGCTCAGACATCTGCCCCTGGGAAACTCTTTTATGGGGGATCCACCACAGAAGGGGATAGGGCACAGAGAAAGCATCCACAATGGGGCATATTATCTTTCCACTCTTAGCTTCACTGGGCACAGGGGATATGTGTATGTCCCATTGCCACCCAACCCTTCCACCATGGCCCCATTTCTGATCTCTCATGCCCCCGACTACAACCTTTGTGGGGTCCAGGGGAAGTGGATTGGATGTTGCTATGGAATTGGCTGAGACCACCGTTCCCCATGGGATGAGTGTGGCCTGCATGCGCCCTAGGGGATGAGGGGAGACATGATTAGGCCATTACGATTGGCTAGCTCTAAATTAATTTCATGCTAGAAATGTTTTACCAGGGACTCCATTTTGGTTTTGGTTTTGAAATAGATCAACCAAAGAGGTCTCTCTTACTTGGACCAAAAGGGGGAAAACCCTTTCATAACATAGAGCAGTCTCAGTGGCTGCATGAGCAAAGTATTGGCCGAAGCTCAGACTCAGCACTCACAGAGATGAATTTAGACTGGACAGAGCCACTAGTGACATGGAAACCGAAGCAATTCTGAAGAAGCCTTGCTTTGACTGTGTCTTCTATGGTACAGAAGCCAAAATAGTGTGAAACAGGTTCATAGTGATCAAGTATTTACATCTGCCATATAATATTAATGATTACTCCTGTACTAAACGCCTAAGAAAGTATAATTTAAGTATTTTGCTCAAAAAGAGCTGCTTAAAGGTATTTAGGCACTGATCATAAGTGGGATCAGTTGTTGGAGTACTATCCTCCCAAAATTCTTTGTATATTTAATTTTTAAAGGGACTTATCAAATTTCCTGTTGTGTTGCACAAAGTCAGATTATTACGGTATCTGTGCAGTATGAATTATTGTCCCATTATGAAACAGTCTGGGAAAACAAGATGACATGGTAAATCGATGAGTATTCAGAGTAGTGAAATTCAAACACAATTAATAGAGCTGGTTGAAATTGTTTAGGTGGGATACTTTTTTCTTTTTGTGAAATAAATTTGCTGGAAATGAAAATTTTTGTTTCCTTCTTTGTGATAAAAACATGAACCTTCCCAAACAAAAAATATGTGGTATTTGATTTTTTTTCCATTGTAAAATTGGAAAATTCCTGTGAAAATTACACCTCTACCCCGATATAACGCGACCCAATATAACACGAATTTGAATATAACGTGGTAAAGCAGTGCTCCGGGGGGGCAGGGCTGCGCACTCCGGTGGATCAAAGCAAGTTTGATATAACGCGGTTTCACCTATAACACGGTAAGATTTTTTGGCTCCCGAGGACAGCGCTATATCGGGGTAGAGGTGTACCAAAAAAAGGCAGGGGGAATTTTTGTTTCTTTAATTTTTTTCCATGGAAAATACTCACCATTTTCTGACTAGCTTTAACAATTAATTACTGGTCAAGATTCTGGAGTCAAACTGCCTTCCCCCATCAACCTTATCATTTAGCCCAGGGATAGCCCCCCTTTCACCCAACCTCTGAAAAATATCAGGGTAAAATCTTTACAGTTTCATTTTAAATTAATCTCTAGACCAGTGGTTCCCAAACTTGTTCCGCTGCTTGTGCAGGGAAAGCCCCTGGCGGGCCGGGCCAGTTCGTTTACCTGCCCCATCCGCAGGTTCGGCCGATCGCGGCTCCCAGTGGCCGCAGTTCGCTGCTCCAGGCCAATGGGAGCTGCTGGATGTACTGGTGGGCCGAGGGACGTACTGGCCGCCACTTCCAGCAGCTCCCATTGGCCTGGAGCAGCGAACCACGGCCAGTGGGAGCCGCGATCGGCCGAACCTGCGGACGGGGCAGGTAAACAAACCGGCCTGGCCGGCAAGGGGCTTTCCCTGCACAAGCGGTAGAACAAGTTTGGGAACCACTGCTCTAGACGCGATATATCGATCCCCGAATCGACGCCCGTACTCCACCTCGGCAGGAGGAGTAAGCGGAGTCGACGGGGGAGCTGCGGCGGTCGACTCGCCGCCATGAGGATAGCCAGGTAAGTCGAACTAAGATACTTCAACTTCAGCTACGCGAATCTTAGTTCGAACCCCCCCGCTAGTGTAGCCCAGGCCTTTGGTACTAATAGAAGAACTATAGAACTAGTCTCTCCAAGAGATGAAGCAGATCACTCTGGTACTGTGCACAAAATTGCTAACCATTTAATCTTAGCAATGTCTAGAAAAACCTGAATGATAATGATACTCCTATTTAATCATTTCAGATGAAACTTCATGCCAACCAGGTGCCACCAATGATTGCGGGGGTTGTACAATAGCAAAGAGTCACTTCCTTCTAAGAACTCTAAATTGCTTGTTTGAGGTCGTCCCTAAAACTTCTGTCTCTGCATCATTGTAAAGCTTCTGGCCAGAACCTCCCCCAGTCTTTTCTTGTCTGACTTCCTGCTAGCATTCTAAAGAAACTGTACATGTACCTTCACAGATGAGACCATGTGGGTTTTCCCTGCCCACAGGGAAGGATCCTCCAAGCCTTCCTCTCCCACCATAAGGGAGAGAAAGTGAGAAGCAGAGCTGCCAGTGACTGCAAGGGGTACCAGGTAGTGAGACCGTGTCCTGCACTACCCAGGTTGTCAGCCTGGGGGGAAGAGTCTGAGTAGTGGGCGAGGGACAGAAGTTTTGATGGAACCCTTATCCCACGATTCATATTAATCTAGCCTGATGTAGAATAATCTACATTAATGAATCTATATTAGAATGAATCCCACAATTCATATTAATCTGGCCTAATGCAGAATAAGTACAACTGAGAATTTATCACAATGAATCTTTTTGAACTCAAGGTTTCAGCATTTAGTTCAACAGTGGCAAGTCACATAACCTCTCTGTGACTGTCACTCTGTAGAATGGGGATAATGATACTTTTCAAAGTGCTTTAAGGTGTGTGCACCTGTGGAAATTCATCTCAGGTAAAGCTCCAATGAGCTCACGAGAGCCTCTCTGATATCACAGTGATGGGGACTATATAAACTGATTGCTGGATAGAGCAATATTGAGTTGCCACTAATGTTTATTCTAGTAAGCCCTTCTTCATGGCGACCCCAGAAAAAGAGCAATATATTGACAGCAGAGTTAGTTTTGGCATGACCGCAACTTTGTACAACAGATGCTAGAAAGCTATGTCAGCAAATCTAAACTGTAATTTAGTGTGAAAATAACTTTTGAGGATACTTGCTAGAGAGGCTTAAACAGCAACATTTGAATCTGGATTTCAAATCCCTCAAAGTCTGGGATTGTTTGGATGAGGAGTTCTAGTTCTGGACCCTCACTAGGGCTAAATTCTCTACTGGTCTAAATGAGTACAGCTCCTTTCACATAAATGGAGTTTCAGCCATTGGCAGAAATTTTGGCAGCTCATCTTTACCTTTCATTGGTTTTAAAACAGTTTCACTTTCTGGGTCACCACACAGATGAATTTGCCAACTATATCATTGCTTTTTATATTATTCGTACTTGGCATTAGTTACATTCTGGCGCAGCTAAACCCAAATTGAGCGTTTTCAAATTGCACTAATTCTAGTGGTGATTTCATCCACATTTCCCTTTCACATTTTTGGTGTCATAACCTTACCTGAGTGACTGTAACAAGATTTTCATCAATGTCCAGCAATAAGTTTCCATTCTGCAGCTGTAAAGCATGATTTATGACAATGACATGAATGATTTATGAAAATGACATGAGTTCTGAGCATGACAATGATCACCTCCATAATTATTGACTTCACTATGGAAATGAAAACCCTTTCAGTCTTGTAGCAAGCTGCTGTACTCACCTCAAAGATAACAAATCACATGTTTAACAATGGTGCATTTGAATGCTGCGAACATCAAGTGTAAATATACACTACACTTGCCTGTAGTACACTCTTGTACAAATGCCAGTTCTGTCGTGAATAAGGCTACATCAGTGCAGACATTAGAAATAGTTACTCTTTAAGGGATTAATAAGTTTAGCTATAAAAATTCATTATGGTGCCTACTCCTGTGCCCATTGAAGTTAATGGGAATCTTTATTGGCTTTAATGGGGAAAGGAGTTGGCATTCTCAGCTATATAATTTGATAATATACACGTGGGGTAAGAAAAGGCTCTAAAAGCAAATAATATATGCAGCAAAATACAATGCCTATTTAACTAGGTAAAACTATGGCTTTTGAAAAGTGTATTTATAAATTAATAAATGCACAGCTAAGATTACAAATACCCTTTCTATAATCTGCAAGAGAATATTTTTTAAAATGCTGGTATTAATGAATCCAAGATAAATCTAAATCTACAGGGTTGTGTGTAAATGTATATATAATGGAATATACTAAAAATCCCACTGTTAGCTATAACTATAATATCTGATCACCTGACTTAAATGTCATCAGAGGACTAAATTTCAGTGTGATAAACATAACTGTTTTAAAGTGGGAGGGGACAAACCAGAATGATTTTTGCAACATAACGAGAACTACAATAGCAAATGAAATAAAGTTTAATCTGTGATCCGTTTAAGAGTGCAAGGGGCCAGAAGATGCCATTCCAGGAAGCTGGAATAACAAAGGCCCAGGAAATGGGCTGACAGCGGAAGAGAGCAAGCAGTCCTGAGGAATTAGGAGTTGGATGTAGGGGAAACCCCAGAACACTATTCCTTTAAGGGCCTAGGATCAGGAGCCCTATCGTGTAGGATTGGACAGGACTCCCTTCTTTTCCAACCAATCGGGAGGAGCTCTTTGGAGGAGGGCAGTATATAGACTGCTTTCTCCTTCAAAATAGTGCAGACACTGGCAAGAGAAGGAGGTCAGAGCCAGAAGGCTAAACTCCAGGGAGACAGCCATGAGAAGCAGCCCTGTGAAGACCAGGCTGTGGCTGTGTGTGGATGGCAGAAGAGCCAGAGATAAGTGTGAACCTTTGGGCTGCAGTGATGGACTTTATTGGTGGGACAGTCTGGAAGTGTTTCTGGGCATTAAACCGGCCCCAAGTAGAAGGCAGTAGAACTTCTAAGATGCCATGGGGAGTTTGTATGGGGCCCTGAAGAGGGAGCACACAGGGACAGCTGCTGCAAAGGGAATTCTGGTCATGAGGGACTGCTCAGGAAGTGGCAGCCCTGTTACCTGATGACAAACCCACCAGTCAGTAATTCACTGGAAGTTTAAAAATAGCCTGAGAGGGTGGTTCTCCTGTGTCTCTGATAATAAAATTCTGGCAAAAAGCAATGCCAGGTGAAGAAAGTATGACATATTATATATACAGGGCCCAATATTGTAGACCCTGTATGTGAGGAATTCCCACTGAAGTTAAGGGAAGCATGAAATCAGGCTTAGGCTATTAGCCCCAGAATCTCACTATAAATCCAGAAAGCATTCTTGATATAAAAATTGAAAGGCTTAGGCCTTGAATAAGGACCTCAGGCTTTAGCCAACAGATTATGTTTCTTGATTTTGACCATCACTTCACCTAGCCATCTCTACCAATTCTTTACAGGTTATTGAGAGTCAGATTCTGCCCTCAGCCATACTCCTGCAGCTAGCAAAACCATTTGAAAAGTAACCATACCATAGCGTGGAAGAAACACGTGTGCAGCATATAACATTAGTAATAACTTGACTGTGCTACAGTGGGACGTCCCAGAAAACAGTTTGCCCATCATGTCACTGCACATCCCCAAGTGCCCAATTATCCTGTGGCATTTGGACTGCGTCCTCCATCAGTTCACGTTCAGCATCACTTACTGTTGAGGAGAGACTTCAAAAAGGTGAAATATTAGGGCTGGTCCACACTAAGCCTCCAGTTCGAACTAAGATACGCAACTTCAGCTACGTGAATAACGTAGCTGAAGTCGAAGTATCTTAGTTTGAACTTAAAGGTACTTACCGCGGGTCCACACGCGGCAGGCAGGCTCCCCCGTCGACTCTGCCTACTCCTCTCACAGAGCAGGATTACCGGTGTCGACGGCGAGCACTTCCGGGAACGATTTATTGCGTCTAGACAAGACGTGATAAATCGATCCCAGAAGATCGATTGCTTGCCGCCGAACCAGCGGGTAAGTATAGACGTACCCTTAGTGTCTATTAGAGCGTGGGATAGTGTTCAATAGCAACTTCTCTGGGGTTGCATTAGTGTAACTTAGGACAGAATTTGACTTATTGAGTCTTTCTTTGGTTCGACATTTCAGTATGAAAGGATTTATCCTTATCAGTGAAAGTAAACAATCCTCTCCCACTCTCCCAGTAGACTATATAAAAAAAGAGAAATACGGAAAGATGCTTGGTTCCTTGATCTTTCTGTAGAATTCCTCTGTCTGTGGATTTCTCTGTGTCATGATGTAAAAGCTGCCTTTAATTACTGGAAAAATGCATCTCGTCTTACATGAAAACACTGCCACAGCTTATTCAGCAAGGAACAGAAAAGTCAGTTGTAACCACACAGAGGTGGGCAGTGGAAATAGTATTAATCCTCATATCTTGGTGGTATTAAACCTTATAATGAAAGCTGCATCTTCCCATGTAGATGTCTGACATATGCTGTAGTCTTTTAAACATTAAATATTTAAATCTGGCTTCTTAAAGCAGGCTTTAAACCACTCCAGCTGGCAATGAAACTTCTTGTGACATTTTTCACTATTCAGTGGAAACGAGAGCGGAAGGTGTATTATTCTGGAGTTGGAACATATTTGAGGAAAGCCTACAGACTTTGACTATAGAGTTATGCAAGCAGTAGCTTTCATATACCTAAATACAAGAAAGTCACTTCTACACTTTATCTGTTGATCCAATAGGGGTTGGAAAAGTACTTTGTTGTGTTTCTTGAATTATTGCAAAGATAGAGATTTACAGCAGAAGAATTCTGCAGGGACCCCTGTATTCAGAGGTCGGTAAAACACCTTGCAAACCTTGCTATAGAAATAACAGGCCAGATACTCAGCTGTTAATCAGCATAGCTCCACTGAATTCAATGGACATATGCTGATTTACAACTGCTGAGGACCTAACTGAATATTTCTGTACTTTGATTATGAAAGAGACAGGAACAGTGATGACTCAGAAATCGTGGTATAGAAACTTCAGAGGATGAAAGGAGAGGAAGTGGTCAAAAAGGATGAAAAGTGCATGGCAGCCTCATCTTATTCTCTAATATAGAGCTCAGTGGGTTAAAATGACAGAATAAAGTACTGTAGTAAGTACGGTAATTAACCAGTAAGGAAAGTAATTAACTTTTTATTTCTTTCTCCTTTCCTCTTAGCGGGCTCTTGAGAATGTCATGAGGACTCCAAAGAACAGAATATCAGCCAGCTAATTCAAGCTGCATAGGTCTAGCATGTGTTCTTGATAAGAGGACAGATGCTTGACACAGCTACTTGTTTGCAAGGGTGGATGTTGAGTCTGAAGGCGTCTCTCTGTACAAGTTGTGATAAGGAACAGACCCTCTGGTTTGGAGTAAATAATTTAAAGTAGCTCTTACATTGAACTGAGGTTGCTTGACTGTGTTTCAGCAAACTTGGTATATAAAGTTCAGGAGACTGAACTGAGTGATGCAAGAAAGCCAGCAGGGCACTAGAAGAAAAGCAAAATGGAGACCAAAAAGGCAATACATAGAGGACCAATTTTTGTAAGACAGGATAAGATTCTCAGTGCCCCAGTTAAAAAGATGCTCTCCTGAAAATGCCCTGGCAAGGAATTGAACTATTCACATTCAGAAGTTAGCTAGTTACTAAAGTTCATATGGCAAGTCCCTCAGTTTGTATCTTTATGAAGTATTTATATTTTGTTAAATATATTTCAAATCAAATGCATGTTAAATATTTTAAGCTTTCAGAATTTTCAACGTTATATACACAGATGTTTCCTTAAATGGTGATTTGCTTTTGAGACTGTTAACATCTGTAAAAGCAAAATAAATTCTTTAAGCACCCTCATTTATATTTCAGAGATGGGCATGAGCCACAATGCATGAGTCAGGCTCCAAACTTTCTCAAAACTTAAAGTGTTTGCACATCTGGGAGTTTATTTATTATTTTTAACCCATTATAAAAAGCTGAGCCATGCTTGAAGTTGGGTCTGAACTTCCCCAAAGTCCAGGAATGTTTGGATCTGGGATTTTGGTCCAGGCCCATCTCTAGTGAATTCATACGTAGGTAAAGACTGCCATATCTTGAAGAGCACTCCATGTACCAGTTACAGTGGAGTAATTCCACATAGCATATGGTTGTTACTCCGGATTTACACAAGTGTAACTGAGGGCAGAATCTGGCCTACTCTGCCGGTGCAGAATGCAGTTGCTAACCTTAATGGAACAGGTTGCTATAAGCACTTAGGACCAGATCTTCAACTGGCATAGGTTGGCTTACCTCCACTGACTCCAACTGAGCTCCATCTATTTAAACCATATGAGAATCTGGCCAAAAGTAACTGCACTAGCTCTCTGATCACTTTCAGAGAGTGCTGATGTTTATCTTTAGTTGACTTAGTTCCTGAGAGTTTGCTTCTCTCCTTAAACCCTTTCTGCTACAGTCTCTTGTTGTGGTCCCATGGGACAAAACTCTCTTTGATGTCCAAAGGAAGATTCTCCCACTTGAGGAGTGCTTCCTTTGGACATCTCTCACTGGGGCAGTAAACCCTAGCTTGAGCTTGGCAAGATTCAGATC